AAATTGTGATTCAAAATTGTCTCAGCTACCCCCCATTTCCGGTTTTTACACTAATTCTGGGCCACACTGTATATGTCCCGGTAGGGTCGAAAGGGATAAGGGAGGAGGCCTATCTGGGACGGTCCGAGAAAAAGAGCATATTTATAAATTCTTTGAGGACGAATGGAAAATTTTCTGGTACTAAGGTTTAGGTTATTCGAAAGAATGTTTTCTCGAATACCCTACGCCAGAGGAATACCATCATTCGCGTTCCATAATCAAGTTGATCAGACGTGACTAGACTGCGGATCTTTATGCAAAATGAAATCTTCGCGATCGTGGTTACAAAAATTGAACCTAAATAGGAATTTATTTTATTCTACAAATATTATAACGTGAACTCTACTTTCAATATTTTTTATATTCTTGCATATTGTTTCCATTTTGTAGTTTCTTGCACGTTGAAATTTCCTATAAATGCATAAACATCCGCAGTCTATTGATTATTTTAATAGCGAGTTGCTTATTTCTATAAGTACACTATAGCAAGTAGCTGAGACGATTCTGAACAACAATTTCCTTTGCAAAAATGTTGGATGGGGCTTCGTTAAGGAGATATTAAGAGAAAACCCCGACCAATCAGAGCGCGCGTAGACCGTTGGAGCGGCCGCGGTAGCGAAGGCTACGCGCTAGGCGGCAGCGTCAATGTCCTTCGATGCACGTCGAGTCACTTGTTCACGTACAAGCGCGGCCGCTTAGCACATAGCGTTCGCTACCGCGGCAGCTCCAACGGTCTACGCGCGCTCTGATTGGTCGAGGTTTTCGCTTAATATCTCCTTAACGAAGCCCCATCCGACATTTTTGCAAAGGAAATTGTTGTTCAGAATCGTCTCAGCTACCTCCCATTTCCGGCTCCTCCCCGACTTTTGGGACACCCTGTATACTATATTCTTATCAGTAGACTGCGGATCTTTATGCAACATGAAATCTTCGCGAACGCGCCTACAAAAATTGAACCTAAATAAGAATTTATTTTATTCTGCAAATATTACAACATGAACTTTACTTTCAATCTTTTTTATATTCTTGCATATTGTTTCCATTTTGTAGTTTCTTGTATATTCGAATTTCCTATAAATGCATAAAGATTCGCAGTCTAGAGATTGATATACGAATGAAAAATGTATAAAAGGAGAACCTTGAAATCGAAATCTAGCCTGTCGATGGGTATCTTGTACTTCCTAGCAAAGTTTTGCGTGGTCGCTGTGAGGAAAGCGTGCGCGAACGAAAATCCAGATATCCAGAAAGTTTGCGGTATCCCCTCCGTCAACCATTTCTGGAAGAAGTTCAGTCGATCCAGGAAGTCCTTGACGAAGGCTGATAGTGGTTTCAAGGTTGGATAGGCACACGCTTTTATCCAAGATGGTGGTAGTCTTGCACTCAGTATGTGATGAGCTAGAACCTGTATAATTGTTCACGAGATATAGGTTGTCGGTTAGGAAAAGATCCTAAAAAGGTTCCTGAGGAAAGTTCTAAGATCTTAGAGTAGGGTAGATCTTAGGGTAGACGAGCAGCGCGCGCTGTGATTGGTCGGTGGTTGTTCGTTAATAATTCAAAAACGAACATCCGACACTTTTGCAAAGGAATTTTTTCAGAATCGTCTCAGCTCTCAGAGCCATTTCTGGTTCTTACACTAATTCTGGGACATCCTGTATACAGCATATAAATTATATAAATACAATTGTTTCAAGTAATATTCAATTACTACATTCATCAGTTCCGATTGAAAAAAGTGTCTTCAAAACCAGTCATTTGACCAATCACGTAGAAACAGGTACAAATGAAATGTCGATAGGTTTAGTGTTAAAAACTTAGAACTTTCGTTTCCGTAACAGTAGTCTGTGTTTCTCTGTGTACGTACCTCGAGTCCGGGAGTCATCACTATCAGTCCATCGACAGCTTTCTCGAGCAGGTCGAGGGAATTTCGAATTTCGTTTAGAAGAGTGTTGTACCTCTCCAGCTCTTGTATCAGTACCGTGTTCATGGATTCCATGTACATGACTGGATATCGTTTCTGCGCCTCCTCGATGTCATACAGGTGCGGCATTTTATCGTATATATCCTTCTTCATGTTCAGCAGGATCTCGTCCTGCTTAGACGTGTCTCCTACCGCCACCGTTCCCTGAATCATCATCATCGACTGGAAAAAATCGTTCGTCAGTTCGAGATTTCGCGTTATTCCCGCGTTCATGTGCAGCCCTAGCGTCTCTGGCGGTGGATACAAGGGGATTCCTTCGATCTGCTTGATGTAGTCTTCGTATTCGTGTCTGTTGCGCGTACGAACGAAAGAAGGATGGATAATTAGGGGCGTTCCATGCGGAATTATTTAATTAAAAAAAAAAAAAAAAATCATTATTGTTACATATCTTCGTGGATAGGAAAAATAGACGGGTCATATTGGCTTCTACAGAGCGAGTGTTTATTACGTGCTCGCAGATAAAGAAAAAGAAAAGTATGTGTCTTCTTTGCACGCTTAAGGGGGTATTCTGAATTAGGAGGTCTAAAGAAAGCGGTTTTTCGTGAAGTTTTTTAGGATGAAAAAAATAAATAATTCTATCGAACTTTTTATCCTATTTTCATACATATTTGAGTAGTCTGTAGACATTTTTTCAAGAAGAAATATTCGAATTGAGTCGATTGTGACGCACATTTGTAGAGCACCTCACAATTAAAACCTCCTATCGGCTCGAAAAGAAATTTTCATTTACATACATTTTTCTTCTATGTGAACTAAGAAAAACCCGCAAAAATAGTGAAATGTGAAATTACTGCAAGTTTAAA